GTGAGATACGAGACTGGTACTGTCCCTTGGTGTCGCTAATTAGTATATCACATCACCGCCCTCACGCTGTCCACCCACGGCCTTCGACCTCGTCCTGCTTGCCACAATACTCTACTGTGCAATGGTAATATATTTGTTAAAATTTCTTCAAGTTATAGCAAACTTTTATTTTGACAGGTTGTAGTGACCTTAGAGTTTGTGTTTATGTGATGTGACGAATGAATGATGATATTGCTTGTGAAGTGACTGATAGAATGCACAAACACCACCACAAAACGCATCTGGATTATCAGGGCCATAAATAAAATGTGTGTGTTGGCAATGGTTATCTAGGTTATTTTTAGTTGCACTGATATGATGATTGCACAACAAATTAACAATTCATTACTCCCACACAACACCACCATGTTTTAATAATTTGTTTCCTCATTTCAATTAAAGCAAACACACAGTTAACTATATAATTTGTTAGCCTACCTGGTTTAAAAAATTGTGCATGGTCAACAACGTGGCCATGATTTACTAAAAGCAAAGAACAAATTTAATTTGTGGCCATGATTAAGCCTAAATGAGAGAACGAATTCTGAAATTCATGGGAAGGAAATCTTAATTCTAAATTCTTAAATCTAAATTGCAACCCCGTCACACTAAATGCGTCTCTATAGAACGCATTGTATTTATCGTGCAATTTATAAACGAAGACGAGTTTTTAACGTGCATATGATCTGCATGGGTAGGTTTAGTAGTGGTGTGGGGTATCTGTGTATTATATGTTTGGGTAGGATTCTGGGTAGGATAATAAATTCAAATCAGTCTCGAATGCGTTTTGGAGGGCATTTACATCAGGAAACACATAGTGGCTGTTTACACCTGGCCACTTCATACATTTTCTGTGATAAGAAAGCTATCCGATCAAGAACACATTTGAGACGGATTTAAATCCAAACGCTTAAACAACATCAGAAGGTGGTCTGGGCCGCATTCGAGATGAAACTGGATAAGTATAACTGCATCTAGTTGTTGAAAACGCATATGAAAATTTAACTCCTCCCAACAATGCCAAAAAATAAACGTGTGAGAGCGTGTTATAGGCTATATGTCATGTTATAGCCAGATATACTGCTGCACGAATCGCCGCAGATGAGCAGCCGAGTATCTCTTCATCAAGCCAACGGGCAAACTACAAACCCAATTCCATAAAAGTTGGGACACTGTACAAATTGTGAATAAAAACAGAATGCAATGATGTGGAAGTTTCAAATTTCAATATTATATTTAGAATACAACATAGATGACATATCAAATGTTGAAAGTGAGACATTTTGAATTGCCATGCCAAATATTGGCTCTTTTTGGATTTCATGAGAGCTACAAATTCCAAAAAAGTTGGGACAGGTAGCAATAAGAGGCCAGAAAAGTTAAATGTACATATAAGGAACAGCTGGAGGACCAATTTGCAACTTAGTAGGTCAATTGGCAACATGATTGGGTATAAAAAGAGCCTCTCAGAGTGGCAGTGTCTCTCAGAAGTCAAGATGGGCAGAGGATCACCAATTCCCCCAATGCTGAGGCAAAAAATAGTGGAGCAATATCAGAAAGGAGTTTCTCAGAGAAAAATTGCAAAGAGTTTGAAGTTATCATCATCAACAGTGCATAATATCATCCAAAGATTCAGAGAATCTGGAACAATCTCTGTGCATAAGGGTCAAGGCCGGAAAACCATACTGAATGCCCGTGATCTTCTGGCCCTTAGACGGCACTGCATCACACACAGGAATGCTACTGAAATGGAAATCGCAACAGGGGCTCAAGAATACTTCCAGAAAACATTGTCAGTGAACACAATCCACCGTGCCATTCACCGTTGCCGGCTAAAGCTCTATAGGTCAAAAAAGAAGCCATATCTAAACGGGAACCAGAAGCGCAGGCGTTTTCTCTGGGCCAAGGCTCATTTAAAGTGGACTCTAGCAAAGTGGAAAACTGTTCTGTGGTCAGACGAATCAAAATTTGAAGTTCTTTTTGGAAAACTGGGACGCCATGTCATCCGGACTAAAGAGGACAAGGACAACCCAAGTTGTTATCAGCGCTCAGTTCAGAAGCCTGCATCTCTGATGGTATGGGGTTGCATGAGTGCGTGTGGCATGGGCAGCTTACACATCTGGAAAGGTACCATCAATGCTGAAATGTATATCCAAGTTCTAGAACAACATATGCTCCCATCCAGACATCGTCTCTTTCAGGAAAGATCTTGTATTTTCCAACAAGACAATGCCAAACCACATACTGCGTCAATTACAACATCATGGCTGCGTAGAAGAAGGATCCGGGTACTGAAATGGCCAGCCTGCAGTCCAGATCTTTCACCCATAGAAAACATTTGGCGCATCATAAAGAGGAAGATGCAACAAAGAAGACCTAAGACAGTTGAGCAGCTAGAAGCCTTTATTAGACAAGAATGGTACAACATTCCTATTCCTAAACTTGAGCAACTTGTCTCCTCAGTCCCCAGACGTTTGCAGACTGTAATTAAAAGAAGAGGGGATGCCACACAGTGGTAAAAATGGCCTTGTCCCAACTTTTTTGAGATGTGTTGATGCCATGAAATTTAAAATCAACTTATTTTTCCCTTAAAATTATGCATTTTCTCAGTTTAAACATTTGATATGTCATCTATGTTGTTTTCTAAATATAATATTGAAATTTGAAACTTCCACATCATTGCATTCTGTTTTTATTCACAATTTGTACAGTGTCCCAACTTTTATGGAATTGGGTTTGTATCACAAATCAAAGTGAAAGTATGTCGCAGATGCTTACCACACAATAATCTTAATTAAAAGTAAAGAAACGAAATGATCTTACCAGTGATGATGTCGCTCTTTAATTGCGGTCTTTGATTTTGAAATTTAAAATCTGATGATCAATAAAATGCAGCTCATATCTGTTGCTTTCAGTGACATGAACTCATTTAAATCCTTATGCGCTATGCAGGAATTGAAGATCGAATTTATATTGATTTTGCAAAAAATGAATTTATGTGACCAGGTGTAAATGGAATCGTTTGCTAAATCAGATACGCAGTAAAAACGCATGAAGTGATATATATTTTATATAACCCATGTGTGCTCCCACTGCACATGCCTTACTGTATACAATAAAGAAAATAAATTCAACTTCCTCAACCCCCCCCCCCCTTTTTATTGTGTTAAATCAACATTAAGTGTTGTTTATAGCGTTGGTTCAGAACAAGTTAGGTAGGCTTAAAGGAACACTCCGACTTTTTGGGACTTTAGCCTATTCACCTTACACCCCAGAGTTAGATAAGTCCATACATACCTTTTTCATCTCCGTGCGTGCTATAAGTCTGTTTGACGCACCCACCGCTAGCCTAGCTTAGCACAAAGACTCGATGTGACTGGTTGCAGCTTTCATACTGATCCAAATGAGTGGCAAAATAACGCAAACGTTTTCCTATTTACATGTTGTGATTTGTCTAGTCACATAATGTACAAATAACAAAGTCAAATGAGACACAGACATCTTTTAACCGTATAAAACCTGGGAACTATTCTCTGAAGGCGAAGCACTGCTACTTTGACGGCGTAATAACCGCATCACCGGAGACACGCAGTGGTGAGGAGCGGAGAGTTCGCTCGGTGTTTGGGTAATAGAGTCAGCAATTTATAAATAGTAAAAGCGTAGTTTAGAGTCATGGGTTTTCGCTCTATTGTAAATAGCTGCGACTGTAAACAGGGGAGGTAATACCATGTTTCACAGAATTCCAACTAAAAACGCTGACTGGATGAAGAAATGGCTAACTTACTCTGGATATTTATCCAAACACACCTAAGATTATCAAGGGACATTATGTTTGCTTCCGTACATTTCAATGAGGACGACTATTTTGAAAAAATGGAATTTGCCACACGGACCATAATGTGCTGAAGGATACGGCTATCCCATCGATAGCACGTACAGGACAAGTGGATCACCTGCGGCTGAGGTAAGTGTTCCGTTATGTTTTTAGATGACCTACTGTAACAGTGCCATTAGCCAGATCTAATGTAACGTTAGTGACACTATTATATGATTAGGGTATGAATATGTTTTTATCTTGATGCGGTGCGGACGCGCTTGGGAAAAAAAAAAACGAGCGCGTTCACCGCGTTGAACTTGCACCCTGCGCGCGGCGCGCCTAGTAGCCTAAATTTGAAATAACCATGGAAATAACGAACTTGAGCGTGCAAAAGGGTACGATAGGCTGTGAGTTCATTGTGCAAAATTAATTTGTGCTATTACTTTCCCCTTATTCTATCCTATAGTAATGCAATACTGTATATTATATACGGTTGAATACATTTGGTTCAGCTAATAAACTGCATTTAAAATATATTGATTCCTGTAATAATAATAATTTATTCATGTGATATTTATAAATCTGGGTGCGTTTTTGGTTGGAAATGAATGAAACATGGTACTGTATTACCTGGTCTCCCCTGTTTATTGTCACAGCTCATACAATAAAGCAAACACCCATGATAAACTATGCTTTTCTATCTAACGTTAGTAATTGCTGACTCTTTATTCCAACGCTGAGCGAAGCGAACTCTCTGCTCCTCGTCACGGTGCGTCTCAGGTGATTGTTATCACTCTGCCAGTAGCAGTGTTTCCCCTTCAGAAAATATAGTAAATACGGTCAAAAGATGTCTGTCTCATATGGCCTTGATATTTGCACACTCTGTGACTATACAAACCACAAGATGTAAATAGGAAAACGTTTGCGTTATTTTGTCACTCATTTGGATTAGTATGAAAGCTGCAACCATTCACATCCAGTCTTTGTGCTAAGCTAGGCTAGCGGTGGGTGCGTCAAACAGACTTATAGCACGCACGGAGATGAAAAAGGTATGTATGGACTTATCTAACTCTGGGGGGTAAGGTGAATAGGCTAAAGTCCCAAAAAGTCGGAGTGTTCCTTTAAATATTGCTATTTCATTAACCTGTTGTCCTGGTCCCTGATTGGATGCCTGCTGGTTGGCAGAATGACTGGCGGCAGCTGCAGTCTGTTGTTGGAAGAGATTGGCTGGATATACTCCCCACGGGACTCCATAGTACTGAGGAGGGACTACAGCCGGACCTGTAGGAATAAATGATGAGCTTAGACTGAACTCTCCATATTTAAGATCCCAGGATTGTCTATGCTATGATTGATTTTTATAAAGTGTGTACATGCATATACCTGCAAGTGTTGCGGCTGCTGCCAATCCTGCAGCGGTATAAGGGTCTGTTCCAGGAGGGCCAGCATTGATGATGTAAGGGTTTGGCACAAACGCAGGTGCAAGACCTACCGGGAGGAAAAAACAGAGCATTAGATTCAAACACAGGACAGATTAATTTGGAGACTGCCGGTTACACCCCAAAATACACATGCACAATAAAATTAAACCACTAAACACACTCATTCTGTTTGCAAAAAAAGAAAAAATCAGCAGGAGATTACAGGTAAAAAGCACTTTGGTCAAGTTTTTGGCAGCTAAAGACTTGAGCTTTAGAGTTGAGCTTTTAGCAAGTTCACAAGCTTGCATCATAATTGAGTCTTGAGTGAGACACTTAATTTTCCCCAGCCATAAGAAATAAAATTAAGCTAAAAATACCATGTATTCTATGTTCCAAAAACATGTATGATCAGCACCATGTTGAGGAAAAAGGATAATGGAGACTGATAAGGGAGTCTCTGTATGAAAGTAAATGTCAGAAAGAGGTTATGTTACCGAGGTGTTGCTGTTGGGCTGCAGCAAGTGCGTACTGTTGCTGCTGTGCTGCAGTCAGCTGCTGAACTGTGAGATGACCAGATCTCTGGAACAACTAAAAAAAAAAGTTAAGTTATTACATCTTTTCATTGAGACATTTGTTCTTCTGCTTATGCAGCAATCAGAAATACTCAAAATTCACAATACCATTCATGTTTGTGATTTGTTGAGTAAAAACCAGTCAGTATATCAGGTCCGTGCGCATTGAATCTTTAAAAGAAACTTTAATTCATACAGTAAAGACGCAGCATTTTATTTTAACATTCTGTAGTATTTCTTACTACGTTAAATACACCTTCAGTCCTTTGTTCAATTGTTTGTAATTTGCTTAGTTATCTCTGAAATTGATTTTTTTTTTGTATTAAAAATAAATAACATGAAATAAAATCGTTCTTGTAAAAATAAAACTGTTCATACCTTAAAGGTGCCCTATAATGTGAAATTGAATTTATGTTGGCATAGTTACATAACAAGAGTTCAGTACATGGACATGACATACAGTGAGTCTCAAACACCATTGTTTTCTCCTTCTTACTTAAATCTCGTTTTTGAAAAACAGGCAAATCGCCACATAATACCGACTCTGACGCAATAGTCGGGATCATTAATATGTATGACCCAAAATATTTGCATATGCCAGCCCATGTTCAGTGTCAGACAAGACGGAGCTGCGCAGCTGAAGCATGGCAATTGATCAGTGTTTGGATGTACACATAATAATAATAATTCATTACATTTATATAGCGCTTTTCTCGGCACTCAAAGCGCTTTACATAGAGAGGGGAATCTCCTCAACCACCACCAGTGTGCAGCATCCACCTGGATGATGCGACGGCTGCCATAGTGCGCCAGAACGCTCACCACACACCAGCTCACATGCACACAAAAGAATTTTTATTTTTAGTTCCTTCATCCGAGCCTCTGAAGAAACAATGGGTTAATTTTATTTTCTCTGGATATTTCCAAACATTTCACCGACGACTGTATCCTCAACTTGCCAAGAGCTGGGGCTCGTTCTTCGTACGTCGCTAACTCAGTTAGCTGGATTTGATTGTTGGCGATTTGCCATGATCTTGGATCGTTTGGTTCTTCGACGCTCATCCTGGACTTGCTGTCATAGCAACAGGTCCGTCAGCTTGAACCTGCTCGCGAGCAGGCTTATTTCATGTAAACAGGATTAGAGCGCGGCTGATACGGGAAGTCCTTCAGCGCAGCGCGATAGTGTAGCCTAATTTCTGAGATTGTTTTCTCGTGAAACGATCGTCGTGAGGGTGTCGTTTAAATAGCCTATACATTATTATTTTGTTGGAAATGCACATTAATGTTCGATTCGATATCGGGCTTCAACAACAGCACAAAATGTTTGCATTGCCCTAAAATTATTTGCGAGTGGCTTCCTTTACACTATTGGAGATGCGGAGAACTTGATAAGCTTTCTGTCGTGCCATTCACAAAGTAGTGCTCTTAGTTTTTTTTATTTTTTATTTTTTAGCCAAATTAGGGTATATTATAATTTTTAATGAAGATAATGCAATCATGATGACCATGCCGATTATGACTTACAGTCCCTCAGGCTTAACTTACGTGATTGGTGCCATAGACTGTAGACTACACACATGTTCCCATCAAGGCCTCAATGAAGGGATTTTGTGAGCAGAAAGGGGGCTTATACAGTGCAGCCAAATTATATTACAATTTTTAATATTCCAGATTTTGAATATTATATCACTTTTTTTAAAGGCATTTGACTTGAGTAAAATCTTTTAGATGGTGTGTGACCATGTTCTATATCACAAATCAGTGTGAAAGCAAAATGGCCAGGATCTGTGCATGACTCAAGAATTTTAAGAGATTCACAGAACATTATTTGAACATGGTAAGGAAAATTATAAATATCAAACTCACGGTATTACATACACTTATGCTGAGAACTGCATTTTTCCATTAGGTGATTACAACAACAGGATCCTGCATGAGACAGGTGTTTTATGACCCCATTCCCCGACCCAAACCCCAGACCAGTTACAATGCAGCTCTAGGACAAGGGCACACAATGACATGAGCTTTGGCCAACTAAAGGGAAGATTGCAGGGTCTTTTTCAAAGCCTGAGGGTTGCACCTGACAGGGCCTGAGACATTGCATGTGCCATATTACACAACACTGCCAACATCAGAAAAAGAAAAAAAAAATGTTTAATTAAGCCTAAAATAAAAGACAAGACAAATTTGCAAAACTCTATTTGCTTAGAGTTTTATTTCAATAGTTCTTTAGTTTTTATTGCAATAGTACTCTGTGTGATTTTACTCTGAAGTTTATTTTGAAGCAACTCTATTTCTAGTGCATTTTTTTCTTAGTCAAGTTCTGTTTCTCCCCCTGATTTTTGTTTTTTCAAAATACTCTATTTTCTGTTGAAGACTCATATAGGGAAAAAATGCAACAAATAAAAAGCAAAAGTTGTCTACACTGCCCACCCCTGTATCACTGCTGTGTGCAGACTCTTCTGTAGGCCTTTCTGTACATGTGGACTCCTGTCAGAAATAATAGGCACAGGCACAAGTAGAAATCAATTAAAGCCATCAATTAAATTAAAGTACTTCCTCCAAAGGACAGTCATCTGAGAAATTTTCTTCACTCTCCAGTGCAATGTGATTGATAACTCATGGCAAAATATTTTTACATTAACATAGGTTTATCAGTTTTTACTTTCACAAGACAAAGCAATTTATCATTACTCAAGATTTAACAGTTGAAATGACTAAACTAGACAATTTGGATTATAGGTCTACTTCATTTAATGCAGCAACAAATTATTTCACAGTGTACAAAGATAATTTAAATCTCATTTCCCAGTAATGAAGGTGTTTCTGCTACTGGTCCCTGATGTGGGTCTGGAAGAGCTGAACCCAGGGATGCCCTTCACAACAGGCCAATTCACATTCAACCCAAGGGTCAGCTCTTCTGCCAGGGTCAGGAGCATCATTATTATTTTTTCTCAGCCTTTTTCCTGGTTGCTTTTATAAACTTACAATCATTTATTTAACAGTGCCTTTTTAAAAGAGACTAGTAGGCCTATAAGGCCTAAAATTACCATTAAGTAGAATATTTTTGTACTTCACTTTGACCATGTCCATTATTATAGTGTGGTGACTCGACATTACAATGAACAAAGTAATTATGAAATTATGAAAATAAAAATAAAATAATAATAATAAGTTATTAAAACATCTAACATGGCCACCACAAACGCATTTAATTTGTCTTCTACTTTTGCCAGCACTCTCTCCTGGCTTTTGCACACTTTGAGGTGTTCCCTGGCGTTTTAATTAAAGACTGAAATTCGGCATAACCTTGCATTAAAAGCGCTTGCTCTGCTTGGGAGAAAAACTGGGCGTGTTCTTTAGCCATGCTGAACAGCCAATAGCAGCGCTGCTGATCACTGGTTCTGCTATCGATACATGTCCCCTTTTAAACCAACGCGAGAACGCGCAGTTATCTCAGATAACTCAATCCAGCGATACTAATCATAAACAACAGGTGTGTTCGAAGAACCCAATTAGCCGGATCATGATTAGCACGATGATATCATCTTAGATGTCTCATTTGATCTCGGATGTTTTAAGCAACGTACGAAAAACGAGCCCCTGGCCTCGGACCGAGTATGTTGTTCAAGTTCAGACAGGTAACGTTAATCTTTCACTCAAAATCGTTCAATACTGTTTATGTATCAGTAAAGGCGGGCATACACTGTGCGATTTTCGTCCGATTTTAAGCCGAATTCTGACTTGTGCGACTCTTTTTCGTGTCGGACCGATTTTCAGCATGGTCGTGCGTCATTTATCGTGCAGTGTTCGTGCAGTGTACAGGGAGAAACGAGAGGCGATTAACCTCTCACGATCAACAATCGGATGGTCGGATGAATTTCTGGCATGTCAGAAATTTGTCGCTCCTCGTGACTATATCGCAGAGTTGAAGCAAAGCTACGAACTGATTGCCCTAAACTCAGTGTTTTTTCCCTCACTGCACCTGCGCGAAAACAGAAGTTTAACCATTTCATCTGCAGCAAAAATAACGAAAAGAGGCAGATCTTTAAGTTCTGTAGTTCAAACTAGCTACAAATTACTGTTGCTTACCTCCAGTTCGTGTTGCAAAATGGATAATATTACCCACGTCTTCCAAGCCACCTGCGATGTAAAGCCTCTTTTCATTGATGATTAATTATGGCAATGTTCGGACATATTATAGACTGTTAATAGTTATTTTATATGCCTATAATTCATTGTAAAGACCTAAATGTTTTAGACAATTTTTAATTAGGAGTAAGATTATGTAATATTTTATTATCCTCGCAGCATGTTGGTTATGTGCTGTGAAAATATTGCGTGGCAAATTAATTATAATAGCGGATCAATTTAATAATACTATTAGCCTATAGGCCTCCCCTAATAATGATAATACAGTAATACTAATAATAATTAAATGCATACATTGAAAATGCTAAATCATCCTGATATTGATAGCAGATGCTTGTTTTAACAATATCTCTGTATACATATACGTAAATAGGCTCAATCCAGGGGGTTATCGCAGATATTACACGTATAGTGTGAGCAGTGAAGTCGCAGCTCGACGATCGGACCGTACAGTGTGAGCACATAAATCCTAAACTTTGCCTCCATCGCATGCGATTTACTCGTTGAGTGCGAGTACGTACCTTGCTGAAATCGCACAGACATCGCACAGTGTATGCCCGCCTTAAGTCAAGCCAGGGACTTCACATCGTTTCTTTTAGTAGGATGAAAAAATAATAATAATTATGAATAAATTATATACAGAAAGCGATCAATATCTTTCCACACAGCGCGAGTTTATCTGGACACTTGCCAAACTCGTTATGAATTCAATGACGCACGTTACACTGCACAACGAAGCTCTAACTGTATTTAAATGATCGTGTTTGCATTGGTGAAAAAGCATTAGACTAGAGAGAGCAGAAACTGCATTGCAATTATCTTCATCCTCGCGATCGATAGGCTGTCCTCTGCTTGCTCAACACAACAACATTTTGTGTGATGGGAATAGATCTAAATACTTCAAAAACATCTCACGATTCGTTAATCTCGATGGTAATAGTAAAAACGTATAATAGCTGTAGTAAAATTATTCGAGAGAGTTTCACATGTAATACATAGCTATTTCATATGCAAGCATGTCAGCCAATCACAGCAGAGGCCGGTTACACACAGCAGACACGCCCCTTCCAACAGAGTGTTCAGATCAGAGGCTAAAATCAGGCTAGGAAAAATGCCTTTTATTTCTAAATTATGACTATTTTTGATCTAAAAAACATACTAACATAAGGGCAACCCAGGAAACAGTATAAAATAATTTAAAAAAACATTATAGGGCACCTTTAAAATATTAATTGTCATATCGCCCAGCCCTAAATGAGTAGCTGTACCTGCTGTTGGGGGTTGTAGTCAAACAGGTTGACTGGAGCACCAGATGAGTCCACCTGAATCTGATTTCCAGCATAGTCAAATTGGAGTGACTCCATGCCCACTTGCTGCTCCATGCCGCCCATGTTCTGGGCTTCCTGGCTCTGGAAGTCCTCGGTGGGTGGTTTGTTTGAGACGTTGGGTGGCTGCATAGCGTGCGGGTGGTGCTGCACCATCATTTCCAGACCGGCCTGACTGGGGCCCAGACGTTCAACTGCCTCTGTGGGGGATGCCTGGCGACTGCCTGGGGTGGGGCTGAAGGAAATCAGTTTTAAATCAAAGTATGTATACTTAAATAATGAAGCAGAGAAATTGTTGCAGGGTCACTAATCACTGCCCTATTGAAATCTCAGTTTTTATTTGTTTACAGCTTTCAATATCAGTTTAAATTTGTTTTAATAAGGCATACATAGTTTTGGATTTCAAGGAGAAGCATCAATTTTTATGCCACCAGTATTGGTCAGATAGATAATCCCATCCCCAACCTCACATCATTAGTTAAGATAGTTTCAGAGTGGTCATATGCCTTCATACATCCAGTGTTGACACATGTTGGGATAATTAACCAATGAATGGGATACTAAGCTGAGATAAGAGTATTTTTAAAACTAAAAAAATACACCTTTAGATTTCTGCTGTTTAGGATTACATCGCAAATTGTTCCATCATTGGCTATGATGCCGATCAGAAACTTAATTTTCTCAATGCACCATCTCCCTTAAAGCTTCAAATGTTCTCAGTCACACTCACAAAACCAGTCAGTTCATTCCACAATGGCCTAGTTTCAGCCTTAATAGCAAGTTAAAAACAAAAATCATGTTAATACAGTTGACAATTAAAACTCTGCTTGGAAAAGAACTATCATACTTGAAGTCTTTACAGTCACGGTCCATCCCGTTCAGCAATCCTCTGGCATTTGCTATTGAGGCATCCCCTTCATCCCCAACTTTCATCTCAGGACTTTTGTCTTCCTCAAATGGTAAAGCCTTTTCTTTTGAATCACTCTTTTCCAAGCCATCTGGATCTGCATCTGCTCCACCCTGGAATCACCATCAATCAAAGTTAAATGCAGTGATCCATGAGAGAATGAGACAAATTTACTTTAGGTTGTCAATGAAACATTAAGTCATCTTAATCTAATATAATAAAATTTGTCTACGCTTACAGGTTCATCAGAAAAGAAGCTTATGGTGATGACTGAGCAACATTTCTAAAGAATGAGAAGAAATTTGACATACAAAAAACGCATGCGATATGCATCTTTACTGCTTAAAGCTGTCATTAAATCAAAACCTATTTACTGAAAGGGACAGTTTACCAAAAAATGAAAATCCTGTCATCAGGTCATTCCAAACCTGCATTACTTTCTTCTGTGGAGCATAAAAAATAATAATTTGAGTTTTTTTTTTTTTTTGTCAATGGCCACTAAAACATATCTTCTTTTGTTTTCAACAAACTAAATGCATTCAGGTTTAAAACCACATGAGACTGAGAAAATTACTAATTTATTTTTTTGGGGGAACTAACCGTTTAATGCATGTTCTTGGTAATTTATTGTCAACAATGTATCAATGTATGTACACTTTTTTTTTGTCTTTAATCAAAATGTCTTTACAAAGAGCCAGTATGTATCAGTGCAGGCAAGACTGGAACCCAGATTGTCTGATGTTCTGAGAACATGGGCATAATGTCTCCAATTCTGACATGTGTAATAATCGAAATCTACAAATTCCCCTTTTTTCTGAATGGCATTTGGTTGTAAATAGGGATGCACCGAAATGAAAATTCTTGGCCGAAACCGAAAACCGAAAAAGAGGAAACCAAGGCCGAAAACCGAAAACGGAAACACCGAAAGAAATTATGCCAATTATCAGTATCATTGCATTTATGGCTATGACTGTGTACAAACGTTACTAAAATCAAGGCATTGCAATTGCATAAATTAATATAAATAAATAAATTACTTACAAATTATGCAAATATTTATTTAGCACAATGCACAGTATAAAATAAAATTCAAACTAAAATGTTTTTGACCCCACTCATGTGTACATTAAATAATAATCTAATGGCCTGCAGAAAGGTTTTAAAATTAAATGTTCTCTCAAAAACAAAGCCGAGTGCAAACTTCTTCTCATCACACCAGCACCCTTTGCACGTCTAAATTAGTTTCTTACATTTTAAAAATTTAGCATACAATAGCATAAAAAGCCTTTTTAAATGAACAAAGGTCCATGATTAATACAAATGTACATGAAACTTAACAAAACATGTTTAGTGAATGTAGAAAATATTTAAGAGAGCATTTAGTTCTATACATAGGCTACATGTTCCCATATATATTTTTTTGTAATGTCACACAAGTAATAATCTCAGGGTTTACTGGGTTTTACATGATTATTTTTGTATTGGTGGTGGTATACTAAAAAATAAACATTGTCATGTGTTTATCTTTCTTCTTCTCACCGATTCCTAATGGTTAGATGACAGTTACTTGAGTCGTCCCCTGTCGTTTCAAGGAATAGTACAACGGAGAGCGGGTCCAGTATAAACGCCTCGACCGTTTGGAGCGGTGCGCGCGCTGTCTGAGGAGACTTGCGCCTGCCTCCGCAGCGCGAGTCTCCACAGTTTATACTTGACCCGCTCGCATCCGGAGTCGTTGTCATGGCGGCGCGCATTGTTTAGAGCAGATATAGGTGGATAAACAAGGCTTCCGTCTCCTCGCGGGTTCAGATTCACTGAAATACGTCCGCACCGCAAACATGTTGCTTCAGACAAGCACGTGCAGGTCGCGGTTTCTGTTTGCGTCATCACAACATTTCGGCCGTATTGTTTCGGTGATAAAAGTCTTTCGGCCGAAAACCGAAAATGCACTTTTGGGCCATTTTCGGCCGAAAATTTTCGGTGGCCGAATATTCGGTGCATCCCTAGTTGTAAACAGTAGTGCTGGGAGGTAAACCGGAATTTTGCAAATGATATGCATTTTTCAAATACCGCCACACTGGTGTGAACTGAAACAATTGCTGTATCTATCAATGGCCACTATGAACGCTCTGTAGAGTGTATTGAGAGGGGACTTCTATTAACTGCCTTCTTATTAATGGTTATAACTTATAATTTGATATAAAATTATATGAATAACCCACAAAACGAACTCTTCAATATTTCAAATACCACGTAGAGCCATATGATTTCTGATCTTGAACGTTGCTCAACATCAAATGGCAAACAAAATGAATGCATAACGAAACTGCGTTACTTGTTTGTGCTTCACAGACTGTTTATCAGTCAGAATAATAGACTGCGTAGAGCAACTTTACTACAGAGTGCTGAGAGATCCAGAGAAGAAATCCATTGAATTGGCCACAGAATTAACATCGCTGCAAGGTCTAGTAAGAAGCATTCAGATTCCGCATTCTGAGTTCTGTTATAAACCATGGATATCAGATCAAACAGCGCTGACATGGAAACCAGGAGAAACATTGTGCCATGAATGAACAAGTTATAGAAAACTTAGTCCACAAATCAGCAACATTCGATTGAATGTAGTAACACTAGCTGCTTTCCGACCAAGTAGTTACAGAAACTTAGTCCAGTTCTAAGAACTACTCTCCCCCAAACTCGGTTTTGCTGCTTGCGCCCGCACTGGCCAAGTGGCCATAGGAACTGGTAGGAGGGGTAACGCAAGCACGGCGACGGTCTTTATCACTAGACGTAGCGCGGCCACAAACAACAACAACAAACCAGCATGGAGGAGGCTATTATTGCAATGTTCCTGTTCTGCCTTGCCGGGACCTTAATTAACGCAGAACGAAAGGTGGCGTTTAAAGATTATGCTTGAGTTCTGTAAGTTACAGAGAAACACAGAAGACGAAGGCTCCAGCATAATATGATGGAAGAAGATAAAAGAGCAGAGCGCAGGAGGCAAACAAAATGACGGGTAAGGTTAGCTAGCATTAGCAATTAGCTGGTTGAATGCGTTATGTTTGTCTTAATCCTCGTTGTAATGTTTTGCAAAAACACACAGCGTATGGCAGCGCGCTACAAGTTCAGTGTTGACAGTGGGCATGACTTATAAGTTGAACCAATCAACGTAGACCTAGGGAAAGGGAACTAAAAAAAGTCCTCGCTCTAGACTAGGTACAGAAAGAGTTATAGGAACTACGGTCTGAGGAACTAAAAAAATCCCCAATTTAGTCCGGTCGGAACACGAGAAAAAAAGGGTTATAGGAACGTTAGGTTCTAGGAACTGCAAAAGTCCCTCCGGTCGGAAAGCGGCTACTGTTACAATGGTATTGTGGGTGAAATAGTCAAACACAAGTACTATACATCTTTTTCCAGCACTTCAAAACTATTATTTTTAATATTATTATCATCATATTTAAAATGTTATTTTTAATGTGATGACCAAAGCATTATTTGTTCATCCTTAAAATATTGTCCTTATTAATAAAACTAAAAGTAAAGATGAAGGAAAACTGACAGTTATTTAAAAAACAAAACAAAAAAAAAAACATTAAATTATCATTGTAATCAGTAGGTGGCTGCAGAGAAGCGCTTATTGGGTTATTAACTATTCCCTAATATCTATTTTTTTTTCACTTGTTTTGCTTTTGACTTCATATTAAGAAACTATGAATGATATTAACTGAAGTTTAATTGTTTTAACACCTCAACTCAAGCTCAGTGCTTAATGGTCCGCCCTGCAATGCTACCAAATACTTTGCTACCAAGAACTTAGTGGCTCCAGTGCGGCTGCCCTCAAATATTAGCATGGAGCCCTTTGAACTTAAAATAAAAACTGTAAATTGTAATTTCTGTATGTTAAATCTATTTATTGCTATTTACTATTTATTACTATTAGCATTTATCAGCAATACAGTGAAAATGTGAATGACGGTGTTGCAGGTTGATTTAAGGTGCGCCCCGACATTTTTTGCTTGGGCTCCTAAAAGTTCAGTAAGGGGCTACACCGTGCTCCTTGTAAAAAAATTTACACTGGAGCCCTGATAATAATAATAATAATAATTTAAAACAACTGTACACTGCAACATACAGTGATAAAGATTTTTGGTCAAACCGCCCAGCACTAGTAAATAGAAGCCAAGTCAACAAGGACGTCCCGGACGCCCACTCGTGGTGGTGAGAGAGTAGGGTGAACAGTTACTTATTCATTTCTGTTGGGAAAAAGGACATTTCCAATCTCTGTTATTTTTAATAAAACAAAAAATTAAAAACTGCATGTATTCACTGGTGTTTCTTTTAGATTTCCTTTTCAAAAAATCTGTTCTGATTTTAGATCCCATATGCTGAAAAAAAGGTCGAGATTTATGTATTAAGATACCCAAAGAACATAATCATTGACTCACATAGCCTCCATTTCTGTAGCGACCATCCATCTTTTCTCCAGGAGAAGAGCTGAGGACATATTCCACCATACTCACACCCAGACCACCCCCCTCTGAGCGTGGGGACAGCACTGAGCTTGCGTCTCCGTTCCCGTTGTAGCCCTGGCCTGGTCGCCTTTGTACCATAATGGGCTGAGACACAGAATGATCTAGACACAACAGAGGAAAAAGAATACCAATGGCATTATATTGATGAAAATGACAACAAGAGCACAAATAAAACATTTAAGCACGCATTAAGAAAACCATGATAATACTACCATAATAAAATGCAAAATGAAGTTTCAAGCAACAATCAACAACCTCTTGTAGGCAATACTGAGAAGTACTGTAGGCAAATTGGAGCCACAACCTAATAGCTAATTCATTAAAAATATGCTTTAATGCATAAAGCCAATCTGATCCGATGTGAGTTTATCGTCTCCCAAAAAGAACCAATTGTCTTAAGAGTCGTCAATAATTCCAGTCTTACTTTCTGCACGTACATATATAGGATAGTAACAATAGTAATTGGCTGCATGCAAACAAAACTACTTTGACTCTCAAATACAGCAGTTGTAGCTGCATATGCTGCAAAAGAAAATCTACTTTGCATGAACTTCCAGGTTGAGGTCTCAAGCTCAAATTGATATGTTAAAACTGATGCCATAACATATAAGTGCAGAGGAAGCCCCTGGAGCTGAAATTCAGCGATTCAAATTTAGTTTCTGACACATACTGTAAATGGTAGACCAAATTACAACAGACTGGACCATCCGACCAATCAGAGCAGAGCAGGCTCTCAGAAAGAAGGGGTTTAGAGAGACCGAATCCTTGATCAAATGATTTCAGACAGTGTGGCCCCGTTTACACCTGGCATTAGGATGCATTTTGGTCGATCAGACCACAAGTGGACGGCACTAAATACACGGGTCTAAAACGTTCTGAACTTTTCCACTTTCGACCTCTTCTAGAGGTAGTCGAAAACGCATTAGATCGGATTGCTTTCGTAGTGTAGACGCTAATTTGATCAAATATATTTGAAATGCCACAAGACCACCTACTTTCTGCTTACTGAGCTAATGCGTAAACATTATGGGAAGCACTTTAGCCAGACGAAAAAATTTGTCTGGCTAGAGTGCTTCCCAAAAAATTCCATGCTCAATGTTCTCTTACTGATTTCTAACTCACTCACAGCATTCAGTGTGGTCTTGCGGCTATCAGACAAGAAACTAAAGCTGATGCGCACCGCATGTTTTTCCATCATCTCCGGGAATGTTCATTTTTCTAAATTCCATTTTTTCAAACCGATTAAACCATGCATCATCTAGCTGAGTGCAACAGCAGAACATGATAGTCTCACCAGCACAATATTGATGAACTTGTTCTATGCTTCAGCTGCTATCAAGTGATAAAACATGCAAGTGGCTTGATCCACTCAAATTTGACACAAAATTCTGTTATACACTCGTACCATATAGGATCATTAAAGGTTCTGTGGTGAAGCTAGCCACGACCATGTAAGAATTTACAGAATTAAATGTTTAAGAATGTTTATTGTTATAGAATTAAATGTTTCAGTGTAATCTACAATTTACAGATTTACAGTGAAATCAATGCAGGCCGGAATATTTTCTTATAAAATTACTGTGAACAAACAGCAAAATTAAGCTATCACAGTAATGAATGGCTCTTGTTTTACTGTGAATTCACATTATTAAAGGGCACCTATTATGCAAAATTCACTTTTACATGGTGTTTAAACATAAATGTGTGTTGGCAGTGTGTGAGCAAAACCACCCTAGAATGATAAAAATCCACCCAGTGGTTTTTTTTACAATCTCAATAAATCATAACCACGGTCTCAGAATGAGCTGTTCTAAGATTCAGCGCTTTGTGACATAGAATTGAGCAAGGGGTTTGATTGACAATGGAGGATGGTGTTCAGATCACCGAGGGTGGGGTCTATGCCACAACCACACCGTTTCAACAACAGCCGGTAATGCCTCCTAGAAACATAAGTGTCCTGTTGTGGGATGGGATGTAATAATGACATACATAGTAGTTTTCACTTACTTCCAACATCAGAGCCACTGAAAACACAGTGGATGTATTGTATTTTGGAAGTTTAAGTGGCGCCTTTCCTTCGTAAATAAGTTTATGTTTGAGCTAGAGCTGTGCAAAAATTAATTGCGATTAATCGCATCCAAAATTATGTTTACATAATATATTTGCGTGTGCTGTATATAATTATTTTGCATATATAAATACACACACATGTATGTATATATTTAAGAAAATGTGTTATTCGTATATAAAATATTTATATTTATATAATATAGATTATGTATTTATATACATATACAGAATTTAAGCACAAATAATTCTTAAATATATACATGCATGCATAGGTATTTATATATACAAAATAATTATATACAGCACACACAAATATATTATGTAAACACAGACTTTTATTTTGGATGCGATTAATCGCAATTAATTTTTGCACAGCCCTAGTTTGAGCGAATAATTTTCTGACTGACTGTTTTGTGAACGAGGGTCAATTCAAAGCTGGTCTTGCTTCAAAGTTAATCCTCAAGTGTGGATCGTCGTCTACTGTTTGCGATCCAACGTCACCTCCAGTAAGTGTATTTTATGATTTTTGAGCAAATAGTCATTTCAGTAGATGTCAGCCAATTCAACAACAACACATGCGTCTAAAGTTGTTATTGTCATCGTCGTAGGATGTCTGTGTACATAATTTAAACCTTGTTTTTATAAATTCAAATTTATTTATAAAGCACTGAATAAAACAACAGAGTTGACCACAGTGCTGTACAGGCAGTAAAACCATAAACAGAAGAATAAAAGAAAAATGTACATCCACATATCTAATTAGGTAATATAGTCTTCATCAATCAACAACATGTGTTTTTAAAGAGAATAAAAGACACTATCACCCTTCACACTTATCTTGACCGAACGCTATCATAAAAAATTAAGTTTTTAAGTGACTTTTAAACTGACTGACTTATAGTGTGTAACCACACGTTTATATATATATTTAGTTTAAGATATTGTATTAAAAACAGCATATACGTTCTTGTTCTGTTGCCATTTGCCACAGAAACACCTGTATGACAAGTAATGTAAACATGACGCAACAGCTCCGAATAAATGTAATTTTGCTTGTACGTAGCAAACTACTGTATATCACAGTATGTGTAACTTATGTTGTTTCAAAAAATTGCGCCAACGTTAGTGTTTGTGTGTGTCTGTGTGTGTGTTGCACATCCAAAATTTCAAAGGGTACGCGATTACAACTCTGTACATTATCTGTATCAAATAACCATACTGAGACATCCTGGTGCATTCTCAATTGTGTTTATTCTGCCGGAGTCTCTTCGTCATCTGGGTCTGATCAAAGACTATTTATATATTACGATTCAAACATGTACGGCTGAATGACAAACAAAACAGCGGGTCTCTCACTCTCTCAGCCCTTCTGCTTACCGACTGCCATAGGTTTGCAAGTGACACCCTCATCCAAAGGCAGGGCGGGGATATGCAGCTCATTTGCGTTTAAGGTCGTACACACCAAAACAGCTCTTTTTAAAACAGGCCCCAAAAATGACATTTTCAAATGGGTATAATAAATTAGCTGTGGGGTATTCTGTGCTGAAACTTCACAAATACATTCTGGGGACACCTGAGACCAATATTACATCTTGTAAAAAGGGGCATAATAGGTGCCCTTTAAGTCATAATTAACCATGCCACTTTAAAACCAAACAAATTACAGTAATAAACAATTTTTAAGTCACCATTATGGTGATAAGTGTTCCATTTCCTTGGGATCTTGGGCTTGTTAAGTGCATCTGGAAAGTATTCGCAGTACTTCACTTTTTCCACATTTTGTTATGTTACAGCCTTATTCCAAAATGGATTAAATTCCTTATTTTCCTTAAATTGACAATGACAACATGAACAAAGTTTGTTTGAAATGTTTGCAAATTTATTAAATATAAAAAATGAAGAAATCACATGTACATAAGTATTCACAGCCTTTGCTCAATACTTCGAAGCACAGTTGGCACCAATTACAGCCTCAAGTCTTTTTGAGTACGATGCTAAAAGATTGGCACACCTATTTTTGGGCAGTTTCTCTCGTTCTTCTTTGCAGAACCTCTCAAGCTCCATTAGGTTGGATGAGGAGAAAGTCAGTGCACAGGCATTTTCAGATCTCTCCAGGGATCATCAATTGGGTTCAAGTCTGGGGTCTGGCTGGGCCACTCAAGGACATTCACATAGTTGTCCCATTTGCCCCCACTCCTTTGTTATCTTGGCTGAATGATTAGGGTCATTGCCCTAAACTGAGGTCCAGAGCGTTCTGGAGCAGGATTTCATTAAGGATGTCTCTATACATTGCTTGATTCATCTTACCCTCAATCTTGTCTAGTCTCCCAGTTCTTGCCGCTGAAAAATATATCCCCACAGTGTGATTCTGCCATCACCATGCTTCACTGTAGGGATAGTATTGGCCAGGTGATGATTGCTGCCTGCTTTCCTCCAGACATGACACTTGACATTCAGGCCAAAGAGTTCAATCTTTGTTTCATCAGACCAGAGAATTTAGTTTCTCATGGTGCGAGAGTCCTTCAGAGAGCCTTTTGGCAAACTCCAGGCAGGCTACCATGTGCCTTTTACTGAGGAGTGGCTTCTGTCTGGCCACTCTACAATACAGGCCTGATTGGAGGAGTTCTGCAGAGATGGTTGTTCTTCTGGAAGGTTCTCCACTCTCCACAGAGCATGGAGCACTGTCAGAGTGACCATCAGGTTCTTGGTCGTCTCCCTGACTAAACCCCTTCTCCCCCAATTGCTCAGTTTGGCCAGGCAGCCAGCTCTAGGAAGAGTCCCTGGTAGTTCCAAAACTTTTCCTTGGACAGATGAAGTAAATTATTGTAATTTTTAAAAACACTGTGCTCATTGGGACCTTCAATGCTGCAGAAATGTTTCTGTGTCCTTCCTGAGATCTGTGCCTTGATACAATCCTGTCTCGGAGGTCTACAGACAACTCCTTGGACATGGCTTGGTTTGTGCTCTGACATGCACTGTTAACTGTGGGACCTTACAGTATATAGACGGGTGTGTGCCTTTCCAAATCATG